ATTCTTTATATAGCTGCTCAGAAACGTTCCGTTAGGGCTTTATTGGCTCAAGAGAATGACAATGGAAAAAAAAGTGCTTTACTACCTTAGTAGGATGATGACGCCAAATGGATTAAACTACTCGCCCATCGAGAAGATATGTCTGGCGTTAATCTTTGCAATCCAAAAGTTAAAGCATTACTTTCAAGCTCATACAGTTCGTCTTGTCTCAAAAGCCAATCCACTTAAGTATGTTATGATGAGGCCAGTGCTCTCTGATAGACTCGCAAGGTGGTATCTCCAATTGCAGCAATTTGAGATCATCTATGTTCCTCAAAAGGCTGTAAAAGGTCAAGACTTGGCGGACTTCTTGGCTGTCCACCCAATCCCTGCTGAGTGGGAGTTGTCTGATGAGTTACCCGACGAAGATGTGCTGGTCATTGAATAACTCCGCCATGGAAGATGTATTTTGATGGGGCGGCCCATCGAGAAAGGGCTGGTGTTGGGATCGTCTTTGTGACATCTAACGAAGAAGTTTTTCCTTACTTATTTACTTTGACCAAGAATTGCTCAAATAATGTTGCTGAGTATCAAGGTTGGAGATGGCAGTTGACATAAAGCAACTACGTTTGAATGTGTATGGAGACTCTAAACTCGTGGTTAATCAATTACTTAGAGAGTATGAGGTGAAGAAACCTGAGTTGCTTCCATATGTAAACTACGCCAAAAGACTTATTGGATGGCTTGGTGATGTGACAATTGATCATGTGCCGAGAAAGGATAATAAGCAAGCCGACGCCCTCGCAAAACTTGCTTCGACGCTCACCTTGCCTAAAGATAAAGCTCATGTTCCTGTCTGTAGGATTTGGGTAGTACCGCCAATATTCGATGATGAAGAAGATGATGAGAAAGATGAGAATCACGTCGTTGAAGTGTTTGACATTGAAAATGAGGATTGACGCCAGCCTCTTGTTGATTACATGAAGTACGGAAAGTTACCTGATGATCTGCGAAAAAAGAGTTGATGTGCGGCGGTGTGCACCGCGCTTTATCTATTATAAGGGAACTCTCTATAGGCGATCTTTTGATGGAGTCTTTTTGAGATGTTTGGGAGATGATGAAGCAATTCGAGCAATGGAGGAAGCTCATTCTGGAATCTGTGGTGCTCACCAATCAGGCCCAAAACTACATTTTCGTCAAGAGAATGGGGTATTATTGGCCAACGATGGTTAAAGACTGTATGGACTATGCCCAAAGATGTCAACCATGTCAATTTCATGCAAACTTTATTCATCAATCATCCGAGCCGTTACATGCCACTGTTGCTTCATGGCTGTTCGATGCGTGGGGTCTTGATGTGGTTGGACCTATGACAAAGTCTTCTGGGGGTCACTTATATATTTTGACCGCAACAGATTATTTCTCTAAGTGGGCTGAAGCAGTGTCTCTCAAGGAAGTGAAGAAATAAAATGTCGCCGATTTCATCCGTCTCAATATCATTTTTCGTTATGGGATCCCTCGATATATAGTAACGGATAATGGGAAACCGTTTTCAAACAGTCATATTGACAAGCTTTGTGAAAAATTTGGCTTCAAGCAACGAAAGTCTTCCATGTATAATGTTGCTGCTAATGGACTTGTTGAAGCATTCAATAAAACTTTGTGCAATTTGCTGAAGAAAGTGGTTGCGAAATCGAAACGAGATTGGCACGAGAGGATTGGAGAAGCCTTGTGGGCATACCGTACCACCTTTAGAACGCCGGCTCAAGCCACTCCTTATGCACTTGTCTATGGCGTGGAAGCAGTTGTTCCCCTTGAACAGCAAATTCCATCATTGAGGATAGCATTGCAAGAAGGATTGACGGAAGAAGAAAATGTTCGCCTTCACCTTGAGGAGTTGGAGGCTCTAGATGAGAAAAGACTGGAAGCTCAGCAAAGATTGGAATGTTACCAAGCGCGTCTCTCTAAGGCCTTTAACAAGAAAGTTCGATCGCGCTCCTTTGAAGTGGGTGATTTAGTTCTTGCTGTGAGAAGACCGATTATGATGACACACCGTGTTGGGAATAAGTTCACTCCAAAGTGGGATGGACTATATGTTGTGAGGGATGTCTATACCAATGGCGCCTACAAGGTAGTAGCCGAAGACGGTCTGGTAGTTGGTCCTATCAATGGGAAGTTCTTGAAACGCTATTATGCGTGACATGCATATAAAAACAAAAAAAACAAAAAAAAAACAAAAAAAAAAAAGAAGAAAGTCCGGACCTGCATGAGTATAAACTGTGAGCGGTAATCACCAAAAAGCTTTGCATGTGATTAAACTGCTAAATTCTCCACCAATGTGAATATACGTGGTTAAACTGTTAATTCTCCCACTAAGGTGTTATGTGGTTAACTTAATACTCTACTTTGTCTAAAGTAGTTAAAGAATAGTCTCTCCTAGCCTGCATGAGTATAAACTGTGCACGGCACCCCTATAAACAAATTCATGTTGATGTTACTTTCAACTACGTTATGACTTGATCCTTTTTAAAGGTACGTAGACAGCTTAGATAAATTTCTAAGTTCAGTCATATTTTTTAAAGAAGATTATTTTGTTCTCTTATTAAGTTGATTGAGGATGAAATAAAGTAAGTATGTAGTTTCAAACTCTTCTAAGTAACGAGGCAAAAAGAATGACAAAGAGAAGAATTTTATTGATCTTTCAAGAATAAGCAATAAATATTGCATCAAGTTCCTATGACATTGCTAAACTAGAAACGAAAGTTCTTTAACTCTTCTCTAGCAGTTTCTAAATCTACTGTCAAAGTCTTCAAATTCTCATCTAACTCGTCACTTGCAGGAAGTTTACTCTCAAAGGTGGATATCTCTTCTTCAATGCTAACGACTTCTCCTTGAACACTTTTGAGAAGCTCTTGGTGATTTTTTAGAGAATCCATCAAGTTTTTCCTTCGCTTCTGCAAATCATCAATCTCTTTTTGGGTGGTGAGAATTTGAGTAGACTCCTTGTCTTCCTTGCCTTTCGCAGCGTCTAGACGATCTCTGGCTTCTTCTAGTTGACGTGCAAGCATTTCTTTAGAGGGCCTTTCGGAAGACCTTGATCTTGCCTCATCAAATGCAGCAACTTTGTCAAAAAACTCTTCCAAGGCTACCTCCACAAATGAGATGTCCAAAGTGGCCATTTTCCGTATGAACTTCAATACAACATAGACTTCGTCTTGAATGGATGATAAAGATGAAGATGGGGTGGCAGATATCTTGTCTTGAAGGTCGGTCCATACTTCATGGAGGAACTTTCTCTCATGTTTGAGGGAGAGCTTCTCGCCATCCAGTACCGAATGAGCCGCACAATGAGATGGTTGAAAATGCTCGTCCGAATAGTTAGACCGTTTGGATGAAGAGATTGATTGTTGATTGCTCTGTGGTTTGTCTATCGCACCATAAAGATGTTTCTCCAACTGCAAAGATTCATTGAAAAAGCAAATTAAATGAAGAAAAACGAAGCATGCAGAAAATTGAGATTAAGCAAGAGAACTTAGAAAAAAAAACCTCTTCAACAACATCTCTTGATTGATTTTGATGACTTGTTGCTTGGATGTTCTCCTTTGATGGCTCAGAAGGTGTGGGATTCTTCTTTAGTCTCTTGAAATGACGATCGGCGTTGTTGCTGCTGCTTTCGTCATCAAAAAGAGTAACTTCTTGTCTCTTATCGATCTTGTGAGATTGAACAACACGATTCTCAGTAGAAGGAAGATTGGGCTCACCCGAATTTCCATTGGCATGCTTCACGGATGGACGATCGTCTTTCTCGATGGGACCTTTGGCTTTCAGTACTACTCTCTTCGGTTTTGAGGCGATTAAACTCCCAATATTTTCTTCAAAGTAGTTTCCATGAACTTTGCTCCACCATTCCTTGTATTCCTCAGTTGAAAAGAACTTTGCATTGGTGGGAACACAAAGGAGCCATGCTCTAGGAAAGGTCTTCATAGATGTGCACATTCGCCAGTAACGGAGCCCTTCCTCTAAGGAACTTGTGCGCACGTCTTGTTTTAGTACTCCGGGTAAGTCTTGAAGGAATCCAAATTGGCGACTAAATCTGTGTGGACTGTAGGGCTCAATTGAAAAAAGACCGCCTTGCCTCAAAGGTAGGTAATTCGAGCGAATGGCGAGGAATAAGTCTTTCTCGAAAGGTATGGCATTTCCGTTGTCAACGAAATGAAAGTCTCTAGTCTTCGTGATCATGGTGCACATCCAAGAGATCAATTCGCCTTTTTGAATTTCGCTTTCGAGCGTCTTTCGGTTCATAATATTTTGCGTGGCCCTCACTGGAATAAGTCACCATCTTCGGGTCATTTGTTTCTTGCCAGACTTGGTTATTGGTCTTGAAGTAATGAGCTAGCCAGTCGTAGACGAAGTGCACGGGAAATGTTGAGTAAACATGAGAAGGTTTTGGGGATGTCGCAATTTGGTTAAGTCCTTTGTAGATGCTTGCTAGAACCGGGAGGGCTAAGCTCACTTTCAATTCATTCGCCATAAGACTCGCCATCTTGAAAGTGCTAGGACGGATAGAGTGGATGTCGTCGTTCGGAAGGACGAAAAGAGAAGCCAACATGCCAAGAAAGTCGCGAGATATGTTGAATCTTGATAATTTTCTCTGACGCCTAACTTCAAAAAGGGAGTCTTCTCCGCGGGGGACCAGTCCAGATGATGGGAAATATCGCCGAGAGGATTGTGGGTCGACTTAAGATGCTCAGGTACGTAAGCTCATATGGAAGGCCGTGTCCGTAGTGTGACATATACTCCCGCCTTCAGGTAATGAATTCCCGTTCTGCGGCTAACGATAGATGTGCACAGGAGTAATGTGAATTGGTGTGATATTGTATAAGAGATGAGATATGTTATTGTTTATGTTCATGCTGCGACCATACCACTATTATATCATGTGCCGGGCATGACAGGAAAAAGACGAGTGGATGGTCATTAGTTACTTCTTTTTGCTTCCGCGGTTTTTATGAACTCATGAATTATGAAACATGTTGAATTTTTTTTCGCGCGTATGTTTTGGGATTGTTGATTCTAGATATTCATGGTACGTGTTTATTTGAATAATATGTTTTAATTATAAACCATTTGTGAAAACCGGATTTATAAATCCCCGTGAGTCGAGATAAGACTTAGACTGTGAATGTTGTGAATAATGCCCATAATTTCAAAAATGATTTCAAAAAATGTTTTACTGATTTTTGAAAAGTCTGGAATTTCTTAAAAATCATAGTGCCGCGTTACATGTACTCATTCAACAAAAAGAGACTGTATGTGCAAAAACAAAAACCTTGCAAATTTATGGCCAACCAGCAACACTTGAAAACTTTTCAACGCTATTTTTGAGGAAATTCCAAGTGCGTTGATTTCTTTTGATTCTACTACAAAAACAGAAACTTATTTAATCCAAATAACAAAAACAGGACGCAAAAATATAATAAAATTAATAAATTACCAGTCTTGTTCAAAAATTTATTGAAAACGCTGCAGTACGAATTATTACATTAAACAATATGCTATCAACACCCTTGCAACATTTTGGTCTCACAAGAAAACCATCAAACCAAGCAAAAGAACAAAGACGACGAGCTACCGCATCACCATCCTTTTCCAATAACCTGGGTCCTGGGGATACAAGGGAACTGGCTTTGATATTCTTCCATATCCTCCTCAAAGTGCTTTTGGAAGCCCTCACTTCCGAGGTGGTAAACTTAAAAACAGAGAAGAGAAGCACACATAAGAAAATAAATACAGAGACTAACAGGCAAGAAAGACAGCAGCCAGGAGATTTAAAACCATACCACTAACAGCATCCCCATAATGAGGAGACTCATATGCAACAAAGCAAATACTCGTTTTGGCAATTTCTGCAGCTTTGGGTATAGACACTCCAGACTCTATGCATTTGAGCTTCCTACCAAAACAAAAAAAAACAAAACAAAAAACATAAAGTAGTTTGATTTCAAAAAATCGACAGGAAAAATAGCACATAACACAATGTAAATGAATTATAACTTACTACAAGAAAAACCAGAAACGAGTTTGTTTAGCTCTCAACATAATGTAAACGAATCACATAGGAACGCATATAAGAGATGGGAGCATACATTTTCACCATGATTGTTACAGCCGAACCAGATCCAGTAGCAAGTATATCATTTTCAGTAATTACCCCATCACCATTCACCTTATACAGACCACGCTCCTGGACACAGTTGAGAGACAGTTAAGAGACTATGGTATGAAAGGTTCTATTTCAGAATATTAAAAAGAAATAATAATAATAAACATTACAGAAAGAAAGAAGTACTGATTCGTTCCACACGGCAATAAGTATTCCTACTGACGAATAATACTCTTTCTTAGCCGAAATAGTGTCAGCCAGCCAGGTCAACAGATTGTGAACCGAAGTTACATGTTTTGCCTGCAAAACAATCATTTCTTCGTTTTCATTTCTTAATTTTTTTTAGATGGAAGTGTCAAGATGCCTTTCTTAGTTTGCACCATAAAATAATAGAAGACAAAACAGGGGCTCTTAATGTAAATTGTAAACTTATAAGTACCTCAGATTGCAGAGAGTTGATCAGAGATGTGAACGACGATATGTCTCTTCCTCTGTCTTTTCCTCCGGAAATGGTAGCCACCATGCAATGATTCAGTGGAACAATGTTGGGTTTAGTGCCGGATGCTAAATTCGACAAGGTAAGTTAGTAAGGTTGGTACAGCACATATGAAAGGCAAATGTATATAAATAAGGTTAGCCTAGTAACGAACTCACGATGATCAGCAGCAATCACAATTCCTTCTTTGAGAACAAAACCCAGAGTGGTCATTCCCTTTTCCACTTCAGAGTCCCAAGGATTAAACGTCTACCAGAAAAAGAGGGAAAAAAATTTACTCTAAGAACAAAGCTTACATCAAACCTAGCTAAAATGGTAAGCGAATTAAATAATAAAAATAAGAAAGTTACCCCGTCCGGACGCAGAAAAACTGGGTAAACGCCTCGTCTGAGGTCCGGACGAGGAAAAACTGGGTAAACGCCTCGTCTGAGTTCCGGGACGGAGGATCCGGCGGAAGACATCTTTCTTTCGTTCCTTAAATCCAAGCAAAACAAACAAAACCACCAAACCAAAATTAGGGCATTAAGCCTACTCCGAAAAAGAAAAGAGAGATAAAAGCGACAAAGAGATATTATTTACCTATGCAGATCTAAAAGCCAAAAGAAAAAAAAAAAATGACACAACATCAGCCGAGGATGAACAGTGTTGATTCATCAATTAAAATAAACGCGACTAACGTACTGATGAAAGAGGAAAATCGTAACACCAAAAGACAATATGGAGAGAACTAGATTCAATGAAGAAAAGGATAGCGGCGGCCAGAGAATACCTTCTTCGCGAACTTTTATTGCTATGAACACTTTTTAGGGTTTAGGTTATTTGCAATATGTGTAAATTTATAACGTCGAATTGATGTCTGATGCGTAAGAGGTGAGAATGATTAGTCGGCCAAACACAAACCCTTCCCTTAATGTAATATATTGTTGGGGTGGATTTAATATAATTGAGGTAGTAGGCTGAATTAATTCGGTGGGCTGACTGTGTGGGATAGACTAATTAGGCTAAAATACAAAAAGATCCAAAACAATATATAAAAGAGGAAATTACATCCTCCACTACTCATTAACATTTTTATTATATATTTACAACCCATATATATTTATTTGCAAATTAACTAAAACTATCATATTTATTTGCAAACATACTAGATTATTGAGTAACAGATAATTGTTTTTAAATATGGTAACAGCAGATTTGATGGGATCTTAATTGTACGACTTCTCTCTCTTTTCCCTTCTCTATTCTTCTTCTCTCTTCTCTCTCTCTCATCTTTTTCTTGTTCTTCTTCTTCTTCTACAATTTGCTCCTGCTCTCCTCCCCCCACCGCTCCTTCGCCGCTCTGCCTCCGCCCACCTAGTCATCCCCGTCGCTGACCGCCTAGTCTCCATCGGTTGGATACGTTTTTCTACTTGTGGTTTGATGTTTGATGGGCAAATTTCATTAATCTATCCATTTTTGTTACCCATTATAATTTTTTGTTAAATTTCATTAATCTATCCTTTTTCATGATAATGATGTTGATTTGAAATTGAAAATATGCAGAACGGAAGGCAGCCAAGTCTTTTTAACAACCAATTCGGAGGATAAACGTGAACGGACGCCGGCGGTGGTTCGCGGCGGTTGCAAGCCTCGCGTGTTCGGTGACTCGCGGATGGAGATCCTCGGCGATGGCTGCGTGTGTCGTAGATGTTAATTAGTTCACGTTTGAAATTGAAATTAGCGAAGAAGAAGACGAAGAGGCTGAGCGAGGTCAAAACACCCGAGGCCCTGAAGAAGAAAATCATGACATCTTTTTTGAGAATTTTTTCGTTTGATTATTTTGGAGTATATGTTCAGTATAACTATAGTATATGTATAGTATATGTTTTTATTTTTGTTTTCGGACAAATTTTTGGATTAGAGTATAGGTACAGTATATGTATAGTATATGTACAGTATATGACTCGCGTCCCTGCCAAAAAATAAGCTTATGTTTAGTATATTAGCAAATTTTTTTGTTGACCAATGTTTGTTTCGGTCGGATTGATTTTCTTCAGTATATTATTAGTCTTTTGGGAGGAATGAGAATTGCTTATTTGTATCATTTTGTTTGTGTTCAGTTGATTTTTTGAGTCTATACTTTGTAGTTTTTTCTTGTTTTTATTGTTCAATGAAAATTGTATGGTTTTTTCAGCCTATAATGTTTTTTCCAGTATATTTTTAGTCATGTTTCACTGTTTTCCATTTTTTTTTTCTCATGACATTAATAGGAAGACGTTCGATAGTATGTAATAGTTAAAAATTTTCGGTATATTATCAATATCTTTTCAGTATATTTTCTCATGGCATTAACAGGAAGACGTTCGACGGTATATTATCAGTATATTCTCGGTATATTTTCTCATGACATTAACAGGAAGACGTTCGACGGGTATATGTACAGTATATTTGCAGTATATGTTAAAGCAATATATATATATATGCGACGAAGATTTCGTGAAATTTCGTACTCTTTGCCCGATTTCCTGAAATTACGCGCTAGGAACATGGAAGGTTGTTCCACTTACCTTGTAACTGATTTTAGGCATGATTATAATTAATATTTATCTTTTAGGTATATACACAATTTAATTGGTATGGATAGTAATATTGCAATTATCTAAAAATCAGTAAGTATACATGAAAATTTCCCTAAAATGAAGTGTTATTAAACTTACCACGTATAATATTTATATCGGGGCATTATTGATGTAATAAAAACTTATTGGTACCGTAATAGGTTCAATTTTCTCAAAAGATCCAGAGGTATTTACATCCACCCTAGTGAATATCCCGTGCCATACACGGCATGCTTATTTATTAAAACTTTTGTTTAAAACTTTATACAATATATTATCTTGCTGACTGTTTATATTAATAAACAATAGTTTAACATCTATACTTATCGTTTGGTATAGAAAAAAATAATAATTGTACTTATTTGTTCATCATAATACTCAACCATTATTTTATATATATATAATATATAATTATATATATATTTATAATGATAAATGTTTAATATAAATTAATATTATTTAGTTATGTAATTAATTTTACAATATTTAAATTAATTCAAAATAAATATTGTGCCATATATGCATTTTATTCATTTTTAGAATTTAAATTATCTCATAATAATTAAAAAGTCATACACACACACACACATGTGTGTGTGTGTGTGAAATATGAAAAACTGAAATTAGTGATTAGGCAGTACTATCGGTGAATTTTGTGGTGGAAGATATTAACTCAAAATATTACATTTGATTTATTTTAAACCAGTTAACCATTTACGATTGTTAATGTAAATAAAAAATAATAGAAATAATTATTGTAGTTAGATAAATTTCGACAACCAATTGCGTGTATTTTCTGAAAAGGTAACTAAATTTCACACGATTGTGTAGTCAAAATTTTCCAAAACTTATCTGATAAAATGATTTAAATAGTCCATATAAAATTGATGTTTTCCAAACTGTAAGAAGGTATGAAAAAGTTAATAAATTTTCACAAGATTGTGCAGTATGAATCTTTTAAAAATAATATGTATTAATCCTAAAAAAAACATGAGTAATTAGATAGTATTATTGGTGAATTTTATTATGGAAACTTTTTAATTATAATTTAGAAATTTATGATAAAAGATATCCTCAATATATTGTGTTTGATTTTTTTTAAATAAATTAACAATTTAGAATTATTAATGTACAAAAAATATAGAAAAATCTAAATTATAAAAATGTGTTGTTTTCGTGTGATTTTTTGAAAAAATCAATTTTGAGTCAGGATTTTCAAAATTTTATCTAAAGAATAATTTATACAGTCTCTATAAGTTTAGATTCTTTCCAAACTGTAATTTGGATTCTTTCCAAATTATAATATGGAGTTGAGGTTAAATAAATATGGACACTCGTGTGATTTTTAGGAAATTTTTTGTTTCATCGATTGTATAGGCTGGATTAATTTTGTGGACTAATTTTGTTGGACACCCGTACTTTCCATCGATTAATATGGACACCCGTGTAATAAGGATTAATTTTGTTGGACACCCGTACTTTCCATCGATTTTGTTTAAAATCTGATACAAATAAAAATAGATTCATAGGATTAATATTTAAAATGAATTAAATTTTTGTATAAAAATCTCTAAATTTGATACCATAAGAATCTCTAATTTTTTTGGGATATATCAATTAAATTTTGATTCTCAAAGATTTACATGCATTTTTTTCTGAAAATTTCACTAATAGTAAGTCAAATCATTTATTTTTTAGTCAAACTTACTCTAAAAATATTTTTCCAACCACCTATTTATATTACTATAGATTATATGAAGTGATTGAATAGTATGAGAATGTATTTGGTTGTACAAAAAATTATATCAAGAATTCATATTATAGGATTCTTTTCATATATCTACTAATGAATAAAATTGTTACAAAAACTTATTGTGCAAGTAGGACGTTGAATAAATTGAGAAAATCGGAAAACGTATTTTTTATTTACAATTATTAATGAATCTAATTTTTTAAAAATTGGTTTATTTTATTTTCTAATATGACATGATGTGATTTATTGTATTTGAAAATATGCTCGTGGATATAGAATCATGTTGTATTCTAGTAGTATGTTAAATATAATTGAAAATCAAAAAATGATTTATTTTATTTCCAGTTATTAATTCCAATTTTTTTTTTAAATCGATTTATTTTATTTGAAAAAATCCTCGGGAAATAAAATCATGGTGTATTGTTAACAGTAGATACATTCCTATTGTTTGAGGAATGTTATATTATATTTTTTTTTATTGAAGGAGGTGTATCATACTATCATATGTCATGATTGTGAATTTAAATTATTCGCACACTATGGTTATGCGGTACACTATTGTATGAATATGTGAAATATCAATGATTTAAAATTCCTATTGTTAAAAAACGTCTTGGTCCATATTGTTGAACAAAATTTATTTCATTTGCAAATTGGCAGATTTTTGGGAATAATGTTACAAACAATTAATGTTCCAAAGAATATGCGGAGAATATAAATATATATTTAATCGGATATTTTGTTAAACCATTTTGAAATACTCATTTACTATTTACCGCTCTCTTTACTAGTCACCACCCCTCTCCCCTTTTTACTCTTTTGCCCTTAATCTTTTTTTTCTCTCTATCTCTCTAAACTATCTATCTCTTTAAACTCTCGAACTTTCAACGAGCGATTCGAGCACCGAAAAAAATCCGAAAAAATGTCGAAAAAATCCTACAGCCTCGGCAAAGCATACTTCTCAAACAAGGTAATTTATTTTTTTTACGCAGTAAATATTTTTTAATTTTTTTTTTTTATTCTGAACAGGCGTCCGACCGTCGCCTCCGGACGCACGGCGGCCATCGGGTCGTCGGTTCTGGACGGCGGAAAAGGCGTCCGGCCCCAACGGACGCACGA